CAACAACAACATGTATCATCTAATCAAACATCTGACTATCTGAACAGGAAAGGAAGCTTTTATATAGCTGAGTAACTAAGACACATACACACACACACACACACGCTGGGAGAAAAAAAAACCACTGCTGTTGAGTCATTTCTGACTCATAGCGACCCCCACTGGGTTTCCAAGGTGGTAAATCTTTACAGAAGTAGATTGCCCAGTCTTGCTTCCCATACACACACTATACACATATAAATAGATTGTCACATCTAGACAAAGATTTCAATTAGCAATAAAATCTGTAGACTTTAGATCTTTGAACAATTAATGGGTATTAAGTATATGGGTAGAAATTTGGCTCTTGGTCATGTCATAGAAATTAGGAAAAGAACACACAGGCAAAAACATTTACATTAAAATCTCATAAAGATCACTTCATTTTGCCACCAACAGCCTATTTTCACTTATTCTATATACAATACCATCTTTCCATTGTTTGCTCAGCCTCGAGAGAAAAGCAAAGCTGAATGGAAATGAAGGCAGGGAGAAAGACACTCAAATACCAGAAAACTAACTGTTGAGAGTGATGAGAGAAGAAATCACACTCCCAGTCAGAAGGCTCTGGGCTCCTGTAGTGAAGGGAGAGAGCTCACCATGTGAACCCTGCACCATGTGAGTTCACAAAGCAATCACTGAGGCCCAAACTGCTGAGCTGCAGTCCTCAAGAGTTAATTTAGCTCATTACTTAGGAAGAAGGTAAGAATGCAGGACATTACATGACCAGTCACTTCCTCAAAGAAGATATTCAGGTGACCAACAAACACATGTTCGCCATCATTAGCCGTTAAACCAGAAAAACCAAACTCACTGCCATCAAGTAGGATCCGACTCATAGCAACCCCTCCTTGGGTTTCCGAGGCAGTATCACTACAGAAGTAGATTGCCCAGAGCCATTAGAAAGATGCAAATTAAAACAACTATGAGATACTATCTCACCCCAGCATTAATAGCAAAGTTCAACAAGACAGAAAATAACAAATGCTGGAGAGGATGTGGAGACTGGGACTCTCATACACTGCTAGTGGGACTGTAAAATGATATACCACTGTAGAAATAGGTATGAAGATTCCTTAAAAAGTTGGAGACAGAAACACCATTTGATCCAGCAATCCCATTAATAGGTATATATCCAAAAGAAGTAAGAGGCAGTACACGGACAGATACATACACATCCATGTTCATCGCAGCCCTATTCACAGTAGAAAAGAGATGGAAACAACCTAAGAGCCCATCAATTGAGGAATGGATAAACAAACTGTGGTACATACACACAATGGAATACTATGCAACCCTAAAGAATAATGTAGAATCTGCAAACACCACATAACGTGGAGGAACCTGTACGACATT